TACCCTTTTTCCTTTATTTTACATTAAACTCAAAGTCAAGTAAAAAATCAGTGAAAATAAATTCCATACAAAACACCCAAAACGAAAACACCCACCACTTTCCAGCGAAAATTAATTCCAGCTAAAATAAATTATTTTACAGTTAATGTGAAGTGACGAACATTTTCCAAATAAGGAAATACATTTCAAACAGAAACATTTGTGACGCCAGCAGACAGGCAAATCAGTTGTCCAATGTATGAAAGGTAAATGTTTTTCCATGTGAAGGACTCAAATGCTTCCATTCAGGCTCAAAACAAAACAAAATATAAACAAATCTGACTGAACATTGATGAATGTTATCATCCAGAATAACTGTTTGTTGGAGAAAGTACACGTACAGTATTGTGTGCTGTAAAACCATATATTTTCACTGACATTTAATTTTGCTATTTTGATGTTTTGAGCTATGTTCTAATTTCCCAAATTTGTCAAGAAAACAATGAGCTTTATTGTTTTTATTACATCAGTGTTCTCCACGAGGGGTTTAAGAGGGGCGCAGCACCCCTCTTTAATTTATTTGCATCCTTCTTCAATTTGTAGCGCCCCTCTATTTATCTTCAGCGCCCTCCTTTGTTTTCGGTGAACAGCTGTTTGTGCCGGAAGATGTCCCGACGACGTTATTGAGAGACCTCTTATTAAGGTAGAGATGCAGTTTACCTGACAGGTATTTTAATTAGTTAATTAGGAAACCAAGATGACCTCCCTTGTCCACAAAACTATATATTTTCGGAAAGCTTATTGTATGAATTTTAAAATTTTGTTAGTATTTTTTTTCTATGGACATTGTAGTTTGAAATATGCAGAAAAATGTGCTTTTTTGGTCAAAAGTGATTTAAAAAAAATTAGCTTCTAAACCATGCTTCTGTTTCCTGTCAAAATTGGTATATGGGTACATCTGTTGACTATGAAAGTGTCGTCTTGAAAACTGTCTACCAGTTCTCAATTTTACAGAGCGGCAGCTCAAATTTCACTACTTCAAGTTTATGCATAAATTAACACCCACGCTAGTTGTTTGTACGATTGTTGTAACACTGTTCAACCAAAAACAATTTCCCGACGGCGTTTTGAAGATAAACACATTGTCAATCATTTGTGAAAATTTCAAAACAAAAGGTCAAAGCATCTAGAAGCTATTTTTTTTTAAAGTTCCGGGAGTTGCACTAAAAAGAAGCTGAGATAATTGCTAATTTGCATAACAATTCACTCAGTAAGAAGTTTGCTAATGCTCATAATTAAAATGGCTGTTCCAAATTTAAATGTATTATCATTTTGTTAAAAGTTAAATATAGTGCATAATATGGAGATCCCATCATTTCTTTTTTTCACCATGTTTCTTTTTTATTATTTATGTACAGCCTTGCTAAATCTTGCTAAGCATTCAAAAGAGAGGATGTTTGCACCTGTTATCTATATTTTAAAATCGTTTTTTGAGTATGTTCCACTATTCACAATTGTACACAATTTTAACAGTCTATAGCCAAGACTGTTTGGATAATAAAAAGCAAAAAAAAAAAAATTTCACTCCCAAGTGCCCACAAACCTGCATCTCTACCTTAATTGACAAGCGATAAAACAAAGAACTAAGTGACAGATAGTGGCATAGGTGACAATTAGGACAATATATTGGATATCTGGGGGAAAAACTGGCTGAACAAAAAACAATAGCTAGATGCGTTAAGTGATTGTCACAAGCATTGCGTTAATCACGCAATGGGAGAGTCAAAGCATGCTCCCTCATCATTCCTGAATTAGCTTAGATACTTAAGAACAGAAGAGCCAACAACAATTTATTGGTCCAATTGCTTGTTACTTGCCTTTTATTGGCGAAAAGTAAAAAGAATCATTAAATAAATTACCAAAACAAAACGTACGATAAACACTGAAACAACATGGATGACACAGTATCTGATTTGACCTTTGTCCTCAGTACCCATAATGCAATCAACATAATTATCAATCTATTTAGTCATCGGATTCGATTTTTTCTTTTAAATGGTAATTTTGTTATGTGAAAATATTTTTCAACTATTACAATATGTCAGTGCATTTATAAAACTTATGAAAATACTTGAAAGAATTTTAAAAGAAATGAATGAAAAGCTAGAATTTCACAACTTGTTCCATTACAGAGATAATCAAAGAAAGCTTAGAAAGAACTCCCATGTGCTGAGAGTATTGGAGACACATTAAATATAATTCGAAATTACTTAGCTGAAAACTAATTATGCAAATCAGAAAATTAATATGACCAGATTTGAGTGTAAAACTAATGAGGTCTGCGCAATGTAACAGAAAATCTATGTCTCCAAGTTTAAATGAAATGTGACTAGAACCAAAAAATTATGAATTATTATGCTTATTAGGGAAT